TCTCTTATACACATCTGATGTGTATAAGAGACAGCTCCTCCTCCTCATCATCATCACATCATCATCATTATCTTCATCATGGCAATATTAATTGTGCCTGGTAAAATGGGGGAGAACTATTAATTCAGTGTGTGTTCATTTATCAATAGAAGTCTCATAATTTCTCAGCATCTAGAAAAAACAAAATCTTCCGAAGCTAGGAGAACTCCAAGACTACCGCTAAGCACCCTCCGCCCCACGTCTAAAATAGTCTTCCAGCGACGGAACAAGCAAACATTACGTTCTCTTCCCATGACCCCACCCACTGAGTGATCCCGTTATGGGCGATAGTCATGGTATTTATTTTTTTTTTTATTTTAAAATATCTTTAGGCAGGATAACATATACAGGCGAGATCTTTCTGCTGTTTTAAATTATGGTCCTGCAAAAAACACAGTACACTTCTGAGTCGAAGGTTTCGGGGCCAGGAATTACCGCTCAAGGCAAAGCTCGGTTTCTATATAATCGCTCACCCTATCGGCGATAGTCGCCGACAGTCGTCAGGAAGGCTGAACCTGGTTCAACTTTTCCGATTGCGTTGCAAACGCAGACAAATCAGGGTGCATTGCTAGCTGCCCTGCGCAATTGGGAACGCACCCCGATTCGTCTGTGAACCAGAACTGTCATGACCCCAGCTAAAACTCCGGATCCGCGCCAGAGAGGTCCCTATCAAAATGTTCTATTCCTTCAGCCCCAACCATGGTGGGGGAAGTGAGGTGGACCCTCACACACCCCTACCGCCAAATCCTGCATCCGCCCCAGCTGCACACCACAACATTGGTAAAATTAATCTTGAAAGAGCGAATATATTTTAGCCTAATGATAGTGCAAAATATAGGCCTTTGTAATCAATGCATGGCCTGCAATTATCATTGCAGCTAACATGTGTGTACTTCTTTATTCACTGATGGTTAATTATGGTTTGGTTGCTATGGTTTTTGTGGCGATCAGTGTGTAGGGGCGCTTAGAATGTTGATGAAGATTACTACAGATTTATCCAACATAGTGTGATAAAAAGTGGAAGTCATACTATATGCACTTAACACAGAGCTTTTAAACAACTAGATTGCTGACTAGTTAATGAAGCAATGCAGTTTGAATGTGTGCTCAACAAAATGGCCGCCATAGGAAAACGCCACCTTAAGGCTTAGTATAAGTGGTTGGCGCATCGGTTGTGGCTTGGACTCCCAACCTTGAGGTTGGGGGTTCGAAACTCCACTGTGCAAGTCACTTGTGTCCTTGAGCAAGGTACTTTATCTACGGTTGTCTCTCTCCACCCAGGAGTACAAGTGGGTACCTGGTAGGTTCAAGCACAACCATGCGCAGAATACAGGGGTAGGAGTGTGTGTGTTCCATACAGTAAGTGCTTAATCCAGTGACCAGGGGTAATAATTTTAAGCGCATAGAGGTTAGTCTACAATATGCGCTATATAAATCGACAATTATTTTTGTTATAGTATACATATTACCAGGGATGGAAAAAGTATGCGACCGACAGTTGGAGGCATTGACCATTACCCCAGAGGCATTTTAGGGGAAATTTTTTTTTTTTTTTTGCACATCACAATTTAATGTATACTGGTAATTAAATCTGATATTTATAAGTGCTCCAAACCACTAAATGTACTCCTGTTTAGCTATAATAATGTAAAAATAAAATTTGGTGCTTGAGGCATTTGATCAGAACATTTTCATGGTCGGAGGTACAAAAATATTTTTTCCAGGCCTGCGTATTACAACCGTAAATAATACTATTATTTCATTAATCATTATTAATATAATATTAATATATAATAATTATTAATATAATATTAATATATTACTAAACTAGCCTAACCAAAAAGAGGAAAAGTGGAGTATCTGATTTGAGCAAAAAGTACTGAGGAATGAAAATCTAATCAGTGTTTGCTACATTATCAGGTTTCTTTATATAAATGTGAGGTTTGTCACCAGTTATATAAACAGCAATACATTTTATTTTGCAGGCCAGTCAATGTTTAATACAGACTCCAAGAAAGATCCATTCTCTGCTTTTGGTGGTAAGCTGA